CATGGAATAAAGCCAACTCCTTATCTTTCTTTCCCTTGTAAAACGTGTTTTTTGAGACAGGAGACAGTTTGATCACAGGGGAAAAATTCTAATCCGTGATTCTATGAAAAAAGGAAATATAAGGATGATTTTCCTAATTCATATTCTACCACCTCCAGGGAGACCAGTTCTTACAAAGTGCGTCACAACAGAAGACTGTGTTTTCAAACCAAAACGGGGTCTATACATTTTTAAATACACCTTGACATTCGGAATGTGATAGGGAAAGGCAGACAAGACTTTTTCCAACCTTCAGCCCAGTTAACTTAAAGGTTTACATTTTTAAAAGCCCAAGTTATGGCAAATTTGACTTACATTCTCTTAAGTCAAGATGTGCAACTCTCTATTTTAATAATTAAGAAAAACTGCCACATTGCCGCGTATTCCGGGCATTATACATCTGAATTTTACAAGCAATAATACTTGGACATCAATAGTAAAACTGTAAAACTTTTCTTTTACCTCTTTAACTAACTTTTCTAAGAGACCTTATCAATATGTAAAATTCCAAAGATTATGTGTATTTACATTTCATCCAAACTATTTTGTGGCTGTTATTGAGTATAGTTTTTATTGCACAAAGTGAAATTTTAGCATTGTTGTGTTTATCTTTAATAACAGTTTCATCCTATGTTCAAGCTCTAATACATATTTATGTGTTCATGCATATAAATATATATATAATATTCAAGCACACGCATATATATAAAAGCTTAAAATAACTTTTTTACTGATGCCTCTTAAAATGACTGTGTTTTAAAAAGAGAATATGTTCATTTAAGTTTACATAAAATCTAAAGTTCTGGTTTTTCACTCAGTGTTTAGAAAATTCTTGATAATTTAGAACCTTCCACTGTGGAAAGTAAAGTATTTTGGTAAAGCATTTTGTCACAAAAGCAGGGAGGATGGGACACAAGGTCAAAGGGCGTTTTAGAAGCAAACAGCTGGACCAGTTTATTTAAACAGATACAGGGATGGGGGAACTGACCTCAGTTTGACTTATAGTGGGAGGAGCAAGAATGTCATTTTATTACTTTGCCCAGAAGGAAAATGTTTTTGTATTTGAATTCACCCCGAAGCCATCTAAACACACGGCTCTGCTATATGGAGCATAATTCCAAAGAGAGAGTACATAGAAGATAGTCTAGGATAATTATAAAACACACTAAACAGAATCAAATGTTGAGATGTTTTTAAGACGGGAAAGGTGATGTTGTTTTTAAAAATAAAATATTTTGCTATTTGGTTAGCTATTTTCATATAAAGATGTATACTATGACCTCAGATAATAATATGAGTTGTTCATATACTATTAGGAAATGTAATTAACTAATGTTTTGAGGCTTACTATGTCCTATATGTATTAATAATGTTTCATTATATTGGATAGTGGAGCCCTGGTGATGCAGTGGTTAACAGCTATGGCTGCTAACCAAAAGGTCAGCAGTTCAAATCCACCAGCCACTGCTGGGAGACCCTATGGGCAGTTCTATTCTGTCCTGTAGGGTTGATATGAGTCAGAATTGACTTGACAGCGACGTTTTTTTTTTTTTTTAATTGGGTAATTTTTTTAATGTTTTAATTTAAAGAATTCCTACTTTTATATCTACTTATCCTACTGGTAGGCATCCCTGGGTAGTGGAAACGGTTAAGCACTCAACTACTGACTGAAAGGTTGGCAGTTCGAGTCCACTCAGAGGTGCCTTGGAAGGCCCAGGGATCTGTTTCCCTAAGAACCCTGTATTGAAAACCCTATGTAGTGTAGTTCTACTCTGACACACATCGGGTTGTCATGAGTCAGAGTCAGCTCCATGGCAACGGGTGTGGTTTTTGGTTTTATCCTATAGGTAGCTTACGTTTGTGTTGTCAGTAGCAACAAATGATCATTGCTACCAAAAGAGAAGCAAATTGCATGTAGTAAGTGTGGACACTCAGCTAAGTGTCTGTGGTGAGGGGTTTCTTCTCTTCATGGGGACCAGAGCAGGCCTGGAATAAATACATTCAGTGTTGTCTACTGCACACCTTAAGAGGAACTCAGGAAAACCTCAGTACACAGAGAGTGGCCTGGGTGGTGAGTGGACTCAAAAACACATCTTACAAGGAACTTTTTAAGAACCAGGAGTTTTGCACCCAGGGAGAAGAGGGGAAAGGGCTAGGGGGCATGGCGACTATGTTTAAACATTTGAAAGGCTAGCCGAAGGAAGTGACATTAGAATTATTTAAATTATCCTAAGGAATTGTACTGGTGAAAGGATTTTAGATCAAGTGAGGCAAAACCTTCTAACAGTTTGCCTTGTCCATAAATGGCATGGACTCTCAAGTGAAGTGCTAAGTGGTACCCATCTACTTGGTGGAAATACAGGAGAAGGGATTCATGTCAGTGACCAAACTACCAGTAACCAGTTACTGTTGAGTCATTTCTGACTCACGGCAACCTCACTTGTAGCAGAGAAGAACTGTGCTACATAGTGTTTTTGTGGCTGTGACCTTTCAAAGGCAGGTTGCTAGGGCTTTCTTCTGAGCTGCCTCTGGGTGGGTTCAAACCGCCAATGGTTAGTCAAGTGCTTAACGATTTGCACCACCCAGGGAGTCCTGTGACCAAGTTAGACGACCGACAAAGCCTTTTCCAAACCTGAGATGTAATTTTTCATATCCTTCCATGGGTGTAATTGTTATGGATTCAGACCTGACTTGGTTATTATGAATTGGCCTATGGGAATCTGAATGTATGAGTATGAGGGAATCAAGACTAGGAATATAGATAACTCAAGTCACCAGACCCTCTTTGGAGTAACTTATCTGTCTATATACGCGTGCAGTGCAGCCATCAGACTCCTCAATCTCTAAAATGTTCATATTCATGCTTCTTCCCTGCCTCAACAGTAAGGTTGTTGCCAGTGGTAAATGACTCAAAGCCAGCTAATTATTAGCTATCTATTTAGTCTGGGATATTTGAGATGGGTGGCACAATAGTGGTCAGGCTCTGGTCAAGAAGTTAGAGAGGAAGGTCCTAGTACTTCCACCACCATTTGCCAGCTGTGTGTCATTCAGCAAATTATTAACATCTCGTGGGTAATGTGTGACCTCAAGTCAGTCACTCAGTTTCTCTGAGCCTTGACTTCTTATCTGTTAAAAAAAAAAAAGAAGGGCTTTTCCTATTTTTTAGGTAAATGGTATAAATCACATCCATAAAATATATGTTTTAAAAGGAAAGTTAGCAGGCCGAGTTCCTTCCTTCTAAGATCCTGTAGATTATGAACACTGCCATAGATAAAGAGCTGTTTTTTTGCTCTCTTGCCTATGTTAGTTACTATGAAAATTACTTTTGGTAGATGCAGAATATTAATATTAAATAATTTTCTAATTGGTCACGCAGTGAAGGCAGCTAATGAAAAAGCAGATTTTTTTTTTCCATGTTAATTGGTTATTTCACATGGTGTTTGCGCTACACCTGTGCTTATAATGAGACTGGAGAATTAATCTAACCTTCTGCTCACATGATTCCAATTTTCATGGTTTATACAAGATAATGATAACCTGATTTGCAACACAATGTGTTGTAGATCTGTGTTTTAAATATGTTTATTAGCAGTTCAGGGACTTCATATAGAGGACTGATATAATGTATATTGCCAATAAGAGTTAGCACCTTTTGGTTAGATTCCAGTTTCATTACTATTTTTTTTTAAATACATCTTTCAGCTGTGCAACCCTACCATTGCTATTTGTTTTAATGACTTTCCAGCTAATGAAAAAACATAAGGTTACAGGATATTGAGAATCTTAAAATGTCATAAAGCATGCATTTTTATTTTTACAATTTGTCTCTGTCTGTTTAATGCTTTGGTTTTTCGAAACTATTTCTCTCCTGAAGCGGGCAGACTTACAAACTGGAAATTCATACTGGACTGTGAATCCTTTAATTATTAATACTGCATTATTAAACTTTTCATTGTATTTCTTTTATGTGCTGCTCATGTTTGATATATTCAAATCTGAGTTGGGGACTAAAAGCAATTT